GTATCAATAATATTATCTGGTACCAAAGAAGTTATTCTATCCAACACAAAACAAGACAAATTATAGGAAAAATTGCGGTTTAGTGAACGTATAAATATTTCGCATTTATAATTTGAGTATGATAAGTTTTCATTAATGCCTGCAACGGCTAAATTAATTTTAATTTTGGATAAATTTAATTTATTGCATAAATCCGTCGTTATGAAGCTGGACTGTCCCCCGCAATCGAGCAATGCTCGTGCGTAAACTGCTTCTTGTTGAGAATTTTCTTTATTGTATACAGCCACTTTAGCTGTACCTAAAAGAGCATTTTGACTGGTGGCTATTCCACAATACGTAATATTTACATCGTTCTCAGAATTCGCATTATTAACCTGTTGCATATTATTATTTGAGTTACTGGAACCAGCAGGTGGAACTTCCCTTTGCTCGTGTAGAATACTATTGTGCTTACCTCCACATTGGCTACAGCCAGACCACTTGCAATCTTTGGCCGCATGGTTTCGCTTTAAACAATTTGAACATAGCTTAAGTTCCCTGACTCTGGCTATACGATTTTTAACCCCCAATTGCAAAAAGTTTGGACAATAAAACATGCTATGCTCCCCTTTGCAATTGAAACAAATATACTTTATTTTATTGGGTTGAGAATTTTCCGAATTTTCTGTACAATTAACGAGCCCACGCGTTTGACTGAAACTCGAGCTATAATTTTTACCCGTCTTGAAATTCTGAATGGGTTTTCGCGAATCGATTTTTTTGTTTTCAGCGCCTGGTTGACCAGAATGCATTTCTAACGTTTCCAATAAATTTGCGCGTTTTTTTAGAAAATCTTTGAAAATATCTAAAGTAATCGAATCGTAATTAGTTTTCATTTTTTCCCATTCCTTGGCTGTGTACCTGTCCAATTTGTTTGTTATAATAAAAATTAATAATGTATCCCATGAATCTGTAGGTTCGCCTAACAATTTCAAACTGTTTAAATGCTTAAATAAACTTTCATAAATATGACGAATTTTTTAAGCAGTAGCTACATTAATACTTTCCATGTTAAATATGGATTTCAAATGATTCTGGATTAAAAGATGTTTATTGTTAAATCTATCGCATAAGGTACTCCATGCAAGTGAGTAATTTCCACCGCTAAATTCAAGAGATTGAATTACCAGGGGCGCCGAGCCCACTTGTGACGCCCTTAGGTAGTGGTATTTTTGAATATCGCTTATTTGTGAATTTGTATGGATTAGCGACTCGAATATATCGCGAAACTCCATCCAAGTCTCGTATGACCCATCAAATTTGGGTAACTTTATTTCGGGCAGTTTAACACCCTCATAAACTGTTTTATTAGATGATTGAACTGAGGCGGCTTGCGATATACCCTCATTTTCATTTACATCATCGTTTTCATCTAATTTTTCTGAAAGAGCTTTTGCCTTCGAAACGATTTTATGAAATTTGTTTTCAAATTCTTCGCGTTCTTTGAATTGTTCGTCAATGTTTACAGCTAGGCATTCAATTTCGTTCTGAATTTCGTCAAAGCTACTATAAAAATTATCCGTATGATTAATTTTTTGATTAAGTTCGATTTTAATTGAACGATCAACAGGTTAGTTTAGCCTTAACAGATGCTCGTTTTTTAATAATTAATGTTTTAATAGTATCCTCGTCTTGTGACATTTTTTACCGCATAAAATATTTTCGTATAAATAAATCGTATAAATCGTATTAAATCGTATTAAATCGTATTAAATCGTATTAAATCGTATTAATCGTATTATAATAATTACTATAATCGCATAAATTCAACTCTTTAATAGTAAAGAATTAAAACAAATCGCATTTCTATTTATTTCTAAATTCGTTTGTTTACTTTGAATATCCCATAACATAAATGTATGTAATTTGCCCAAACCCCTATGTAAGGACCTACATAAAGCTTATTTTTGATTGTGATCCAAACACTAACCAAACACAACGAAACCAGCTGAAAGGAACTTATACAAATCAAATGAGGAAGAGAGAAATGAATATTTATACTCGCCCGCTTCATTGACGCTGCTATATCCAATCGATTCTTGCACACTTTTTTCGCATTATTGCACAGAATTTAGGTTGTTTTTAATCAAAACATCAAGTAAAATGCACTAATATCCATTCGAAGGACCATGAATTTGTGTAATGAACTGTTAGACACTGGTTTTATACTTTTATTACATTTTAAAGGCAAAAATGAACATAAAAAACGGGAGCGACGCTCACCTTAAATCGCATGTTAATTTTCGCAATCGTGAATGGCAACCACACAAAAGTCTTTTTTGGGTGTCGTGAATTTCGGCGTAGTGAATCTGGGCGGAGTGAAACTCGGCGTAGTGAATTTTCTGTCTCTTTCTCAGTGTAGTGAATTTTATTACAGGGTCGGCGTTAGGCCCAAACAGTATAAGTTGATGCTTTATAAAAGCCAATATCCGCCAGTCTACGTAGTGAAAAGGTCATCCGGGCTAACTCAGAAGGAAACCAATGCCTCAGAAAAGTAAACTGCGCCGATGCAGGATGAAGGTACATTCAAAAACAAATTACTACAGGCCAAAGTTCATTTATTTCAATTAACCAGAAAAATTATGTTTAAAATTTGTTGCCATATAATATTTTGTCTATCTTTGGAGCATGAGAGTATATGTTTAGTCCCTTATTAATCAGTGGTTCGAAAGAGCATATTTCCTGGAACTGAACAATAATTTCAAGATATAGTAGTGATAATTCCAACAATAGTAATCGGTTGACACCGATAAAACTATCGAATCAATCTGGTTATTGTGCCGTGTTTTTACCGGGATATTACCATTCTCCGTCTTACAAATTTGTACTCTCCAAAACTAACAGTGTTCAAAATAGAGAAATGGAAGGTGGTATAAGGTATATAAATTTTATACACCTTATACCATCTTTAATTTCTCTATTTATTAATATACTAGTCAACTTGTACATTACTGTTCAAGATGTTAAACTCACGACCATAGTAGTTGTCTGTGATTTGAAATCTCTCGTAGGATCTTTCATTTCTTGTAGAGATTCTTGCAGATGTGGAAGTCCCACACTCACACTGTATTCCTTGTTGGAAAGCTGTATTGGTATTTCTGGCATCCGAACCAAAGAAGGGTTCAATAATAAGAATTCCGATTAGTGTGGCCATGCTTTTTTTGAAGCATGAATCCTGAATTATTTTTTTCAGATAAACTATGTTGGTAATAACATAAGCATTATGGCAAAAAGGGTATCTATGTTGGTATAAATATGTTGTCATCTTTGCCATTCAACTCTTCTCTGGTAATTAATTAGAAAAAGTAGTATTTTTGGTTACCATCAGAAGAATTTTACCACATTCTTACTATTTAAAAAGAATATCAGAGCATCAGGCTTATAACAGAAACATAGGTTCATTGCAGCTTCCTATATGGTCAACTTCTGGCAATTTACTTTTATATTTATTCAAATATAATTTTCTCTGTTTTTTTTTTCCGAAAATCTTTCTTCCCAATACCCTCTGTGTAGGGTAAGCCTTGGTGACCCTCGACTAAAGTCTGGGACGGTACAAGTTGATGCTTTTTAAAAGCCAATGTCCGCCAGTCTACAAGGTGAAGACGTCATCCGGGCTAACTGAGGAGACAACCAATTCCTCAAAAAAGTTAACTGCGCCGATGCGAGATGAAGATACATTCAAAAACAATTTACTGCAGGCCAAAGTTCATTTATTTCCAGAACCAGAAAAAGTATGTTTAAAATTTGTTCACACACTATTTGGTCTATTTTTGGAGCATGAAAGCATAGGTATGTTTAGTCTCTTATTGATCAGCAGTTCAAAAGAGGCTATTTCCTGGAACTGATACGGCAATTTCGAGATGTAGTAGTGATAATTTCAACAATAGTAATTGGTTGACAGTTGACACCAATGAAACTATCGAATCATTCTGGTTATTGCGCCGTGTTTTTACCGGAATCTTACCATTCTGGTCTTGCAAATGACGTGTGCTCTGCAAAACTAACACTGTTGAAGATATTCAACTCACGACCATAGTAGTTGTCTGTGATTTAAAAACTCTCGTAGGATTTTCCTCCATATCTTGTAGAGATTCTTGCAGACGTGGAAGTCTCACACTATATTCCTTGTTGGAAAGCTCTATTGGTATTTCTCGCATGCGAACCAAAGAAGGGTTCAATTATAAGAGTTCCGATTAGTGTGGCCAAGGTTTTTGAGCGGAGAATGGATAAATTATTTGTGAAACGGTCTTGAAAATCATTTAACTTACATAATCTGAGAAAAAATGTTTTTTTTTTTTTTTGTAGTTCAGACATGCAAGTCTCCTTAAGGTCAAGGAAGAAGTACTTGTGTTGCTATAAGGAAATTTTGTTATTTAATTTATCTGAAACGAAAGTGTTAAACCATTGTCTAGGGAAAAATGAAATTAAGACATTTTGTGTTCATATCATTTCTCCCTTGACTCTTGACAATGGTTTAACAACCGAAACGCGTCGGGATTGGTAGAAAAAAACACCTTTCTCCCATTTGCTCTTATAATTATTTGCAGAAACCTCAATTGATTTGATTACTTGATACGCCTCTTTTTCTAAAGAAGATCTCAAGTATGTCAGTAAGATTGATATAATTGAAGACACAAGAGGATAAAGGTGTTATGTCACAAAACTAAATTATTGAGAAAAATGCAAAAACGCGTTTTGATTTGGAACTTTTTTTTAAACTGCTTAATTTGAACATAGGCTTTTTAGACATTTAATATATTCAAGTTAGTATTTTTTCAACAACTTTTGGCTTGTGTAAACTGAAAATTTCAAAAAAAAAAAATATTTTGTGTACATAACACTTTTATCCACAAACTTTTTTGATGATAAGGTTATGGTTGTGTGAATAAAGGAGTCATTTACGTAAGTTTTTAATTTTTATATTGCAAAAAACGAAGAAACAATAGGAATTAAACTTAAAATTAAGATGTTTTTCTTCTTTTTGGATTTGCCACATTTTCTTCTATAATATCCTCATAAAACCATCTGTAACTCTCGTTGACAAATTGAACTTGTTCTTGTAAATTTTTTATTTTTTCTAAAGTCAACCCGCCAGTCTTCGTTAGCACTCTGGTAGGTGCACACAGGGTTCTATCAACATTTTTGGTCCCTTTTTTCTTCAAATCCACTTGTAAAAATGGCGTATATTCACTCAAGTAGGTTTTATAGAAATAATAGCCAAATTCCTCAACTCTTATCCATTTTACCGTATCCCTCATATTAATCTTCACGTTTAATGTGTTGGTTTGTTTTCTAAATAAGTATAGTTTAGCAGGTAGTTCTTCAAAGTTATAGAAAAAATTTTCCATGTTAACACAAGTACTTCCTTGGTGCTTGCAGAGGTAATGATATCGCGGTACTGCTCTGGAATAAAAATTGACTGGTGTTTTCTGAGAACTTTCTCGATTCTCCCAAAGTCTCTGTCTGAGTCTAGAAAGCTATGTCCAACTTCCGGAAATTTGTGGTCAATTATTTTAAAAAATCTGTTTAGTATTAAATATTCGTACAGACCAATAATAACAAAATTTTTATTTTGTCCTGCGCAGGAATCAGACCATATAACCAAATGATCAATTTCTGGGTGTTCTTCTTTTAGATTTTTACAAAATCGGAATAGGCAGCTTGCGATATCATTACTGCCTCTATTAGCAACATCCTCAGTCCACGTGAAAAAGTGAGATTTTTGACCACCATGAGTAATAGAATGTATGCCGAAATTATAGAACCACATCTGTCGTAGGTAGAATGCTTTTGAAGTTGACAATTTGGGCAGAGGCATAGTCTGCTGCAAATCCATTGTGATGTAGCATATATTTTTATTGGAAAGTGGCTTTTGCCTGTCTGCCTTTTGAGAATCAGAAGCAAAAGTGTAATTTTCTGTGTGTTCGATAGTATTCCCACCTGCATCGCATACACTACATGTATCGCTCTTAGGATAACCAAATGAAAGGTTAAATTTCGTAACAAATAAATTGCGATACATAGACAGTTTAACTAAATACTTGTCTTCAAGCTGTCTCTGCTTACACTCATCTATTTAAAGTTGGTGCATTTTCCTGATATTTAATAACGGACATAGATATTTTCGATTTTCATTTCTATTTCGTGAATAATGTGAATTTTCTGCTGGAAACTTTCTAATGTGTACCACAACGTTAGCTATGTCATCTTCGGAAATTTTGTGTGGTCTTATGTTGTGCCGACCTTGTTTATCTGGGGTTGGGGCGGACTGTCCAGCTTTTAGGTGTTTTTGTATATTTTCCAACTTTTTCCGTCCAATTTGGTAAAGAGTGCAGAAAGCCTCCTTACAGATTTGATTTTTTTGTTTATCTATAGTCACTGAATATGTAAAGGAGTGTTGCTTTGGACGCTTTACGTTGCGTCTATGTCTTGATATTGGATTAATATCGATACTTTTAAATAATAAGCAGTTTTTGGCATTAACATTCAAATTATAATATTTTCTTAAAATAGATTCCCTGGCCTCCAAACTGAATTTGGATCCACACTGTAAACGGCATTTCTCTCTACACAATATCGCATTTTCATTAATCGTCTTTTTTGGAATAAGCCTTCCAGTTTTTTGAGAAACATAATCCATACCTCTTTCCCTACACATTGCAGATTTTTTTCGTTTCCATTCCTCAGGATTTCTTTTTCTTTTTCGGGAAATTTTAGGCTTCATTTCGAATATTTTTTTTTTACTGACTTATGTATCTCAATATTGTTATTAACGACATCGGTATTTTCACCTTCAGCAGTTACATGGGTTTTCACCGTTATATTAGTACAATTTTCAGCAACATTTTGTGTATTTGACCCACGTGCAAATGAAGATTCAACTACTGGTTCCAATTCACTTTGGCTTGCATTTTGGGAATGAACATCTTCGGCAAATATATTTTTTTTGACAGCTTCAATTTTTTCCCAGTTAGTCTTATGTTTAACCTGTTCATGGTAAGTATTAGTGTCACTGTCGAAATCCGTATCGTCACTAGAATGTTCTGTGTTGGATGGGATATATTCATCACTTGATGTAATGCTATCTAACTCATCAGATTCCATTCCATCTGGAATTTCAAAGAAGATAGATTTCGAGGAAATCCACCCACACATTTACTAATAAAACTCACCTAAAACATCGTGGGAAGTTGACCTCGAGGTTGACGGTTTTTGAGTAGTGTCTCCCAAACCAAATAATTGGCAATACCCATTATCAGTCTTACTTGTTGAAGGTTTTTCTTTCTGGCTGTCTTTAAAGGGGTTATGGATGTTAGATGACAAGCACTCTATCTTGTCGGATTCTGCTTTATCTAAATTTAAGAAATGCAACTTAAATAATACCTACCGAAATCCATAAAATATGAATAACAAAATAAATATTGCTGCGAGCAACATAAAATAGAAATTAGTGATATTCATGCAGCCCATGTGGCTTAAAATTTTTGAATCTTACCAGTTTTCACAAAATTTGACCCTTGTTTTTCACCCAACAGCCGAAGAATTTTCTTGCCTCTACTTTCCATAATATTTTAGCACTTAAACACTATTAACACTATAATAAAACAGATTTTTTTACAAAATTTTGTTGACATAAATTTCAAAACATAACCTTAAATTTACACATGACACCTAAAAACCTCTCCAACATTCAACGCGTTAATATTGGATAAAGGTGCTATGTCGAAAAATTGCGACATAGCACTTTTATCCACTTTATGTTTAGTATAAGTGAGTCACATAGCACCTTTATCAATTCGTAGTTTCTTTAAATATCAAGATATGCATCTAAAACCCTTCTAGAAGGTTAGATCACTAACTGGATACCTCAAAAAATCAAGAAAGTGATTTTTCAAAAAAATGCGACATAGCACCTTTATCCACTTATGTTTTCAATTATGTACTAATGCTGAAAATGAATCTTAAAATTCAAGCCAAGTCTCATAATGACCATTAAAATTTGGTAACTTTATTGGAGGACTGGAAATAACTTAATTAATGATTGTAAATTGCCAGGAGCATTATTAACATCGGCGTTAGTTGCCGAAGCAACTTGTGAAGCATGTGCAGAAGCATCAGTTTTATAAAACTCTTTACAAATTAATTGAATGTCATTGGCTAATTGAAAATAAATATTTTTAAAGACCTCAGACTCCTCAGAGTCTTCTGCATCTTCATTGTTAATCAATAAAATTTGTTCTTGTGAATCATTAAATTCATCCCACAGGGGCAATATCTTCTCTAACCTTAGTTCTTATTAATTAAAATTTCATTGACATTTGACTTGTCTAATGTTTGAACTTGATTTTAAAACGAGTTAGTTTACTTTTTGTTATTGCACGATTTGCCTTCAAGGCATCCAATCAGCCATCGTTAAAAAATGCAGAGAATAATTTTTATCTCAATTCACTACTCACCAATGATGGTAAAACGACGCCGATCAACTGTCCTCTTGATAGGTATTTCAGGAATTAAACTGGAATTCTTTTTTGTACCAAAACCGGTAATGTGCTTCATCTAATATTCCATCCGGACTCGGGAGGACCAAATCATGTTTTGAAGGGTAGTCAATAATTGAATTATATTCTAATTATGCTGCATTTATTCTACTTCTATTGACAGCTAGCGAAAATTCAAAAATATTTCTGTAAATTTGTCGACTGGTGTCGTTATCGTTACCAGAACCTTCACTTAGGAAATTCAAGATAAATTGATACGAAAGAATAGTAAACAATAAGGAAAAGTAGTATTTTTGGTTACCATCAGAAGAATATTTCCACATTCTTACTTTTTAAAAAGCACAATAAAGTATCAGGTTTGTAACAGATTTAAACATATGATCAATGCAATTCTGGCAATTTACTTCTATATTTATGCAAACATAATTTTCTCTGGTTTTTTGAAAATCTATCATCCAAATATCCTCTTTGTAGGGTAAGCCCTAGTGACCCTCGACTAAAGGCTGGAACGGTATGAGTTGATGCTCTCCAAAAGTCAATATCCGCCAGTCTACGAGGTAAAGAAGTCATCCAGGTTAATTCAAGAGTAGACTTTTGCCTGAAAGAGATACACTGCGCTGCTGAAACACAGATACATACAAAAATAATTTAATGCGGGCCAAAGTCCATTTACTGCATTAAATCAGAAATATTATGGTATATTTGAACAAACATAGTTTGCTCTGGTTTCAATAAAAATAACTAAGTTCAATACCCTCTGTAGGGTAAGCCTTGGTGACCCTCGACTAAAGTCTGGGACGATATAAGTTGATGCTTTTTAAATGCCAATATCCGCCAGTCTACGAGGTGAAGAAGTCATCCGGGCTAGCTCATGAGGAAAAAATGTCTTCATCTCTGCGCCGATGCAAGATGAAGACATTCATAAACAATTTATTGCAGGCCAAAGTTCATTAATTTCAATTAACCGGAAAATAGTATATTAAAGTATGAGTGGATATTAATTTACTAATAGTTGTAGAATGTTAAATTCGTGATATGACATCTGGCATACCTTTTGTTGTCTGACAAATCAATAATTAAAAAGTTGACATTTAGACTTTACCTTTCTTGGGTTGTTGATTTTGTCATGGCAACTTTATTAAAATACGCGCGTTTTTGAATGTTGGATTTAATCACGCTGGGGAGTACTTTAAATAATTAAAATAGGTTATCAATAAAAAAAATTATGTTTAAAATTTGTTGCCATACAAACTTATGCCGGTTTTCCACTAAACGGACTGTTCAGTTAGTGTTTCAAAACATGATTTAAAATAAAAACCAAATTGAAATGAGCACAAAACTCTTGTTTCCATCAAGCGGACTACGTTTTGTTTTTTCGGGGAAATAAAACTCCAACTGTCTCAAAACACACTAGTCTTGAAAATGTTTGGGAAAAGTTTGAGTTTGGGTTTTCTTTTTGTTTTTTCTGTTTAGTGGAAAACCGGCATTAGACACTATTTTGTTTATCTTTGCATGAGAGCATATGTAGTCCTGGATTGATCAAAGATTCATATTTTCTGGAACTGGTACAGCAATTTCAAGATATAGTAGTGATGATTCCAACAATAGTAATCTGTTGATACTGATGAAACTATCAAATCAATCTGGTTATGGTGTCGTGTTTTCACCGGGATATTACCATTCTGGTCTTGCAAATTTGTGATTGTGCAATCTTCAGTAAAAACTATTAGACTTGAATTTATGACTAATGATACACAGTGAGCCAAGAAAAGAAGAGAGTTAAATGTGATTGATTAAACATATTATTTTAAATGAAAACAGAACATGCCGCCCACCAAAATACAATGCATTTTCAGTAATTACTTAGTTATGAAGTGGTAAAGGACAGAGCTTCACCACAGGTCGCTTAAGTAAACCACTTGTCGTACGAACGGTGGCCACGCGAACAACTCCGTCGGCGCCCGGATGTACCTCTATTATACGGCCCATATGCCACCGCATAGGAGGCATCAAGTCGTTTTTGATCAGAACAAGGGTTCCAGGGTTTATGGAAGTGGGGCCTTTATGCCACTTAGAACGTTGATGCAAGGTGTGAAGGTACTCATGTGACCAGCGACGCCAAAAATCCTGATGCATTCGGGTCAATAATTGCCAACGGTCTAAGCGACCAATTGGAACACAGGTTAAATTAGGTTCAGGAGGCACGGTCAAGGCTTCCAATGTCAAAAAATGGCCTGGGGTGAGTGCTGTCAAGTCATGCGGATCGTTACTAAAAGGAGTAAGGGGTCGGGAGTTGAGAAATGCTTCTATTTGAATTAAAAGTGTATTTAACTCCTCATAGGTCAAATTTTGATTGCCAACTACTCTATAAAGATGCGTTTTGACAGACTTCACGCCGGCTTCAAAGAGGCCGCCGAAGTGTGGGGCAGAGAGAGGATTAAAACGCCACTTTATACCCTCGAGTGAAGCTGACGCTGACATAAATCCATTCAGCTGCTTAGCAGCACTAACAAAATTGGATCCACAATCTGAAAAAAGATGATGACAACGTCCTCTGCGAGCGATAAATCTACGCAAAGCCGCTATGAAAGCATCGGCAGATAGATCGGAAACAAGCTCCAAATGGAGGGCTTTGGTAGCAGCACAAACAAATAAACACAAATATGCTTTGCTTGTACGAGAACCACGATGGCGAGACATAAGTACTTTAAAGGGGCCGGCATAGTCAACGCCAGTGTAAGAAAAGGGTTTGACTTGTGAAACGCGAGCGAGAGGGAGATCGCCCATTGCGGGTTGTAATGGTCGGGGATTTAGTCTATAACAGACAATACATTTGGATAACACACTACGAATGACTCGCTTAGAAGCAAGAATCCAGAACTGTTGGCCAATCAAGTATTGAACGCTCTGTACTCCAGCATGGAAATATTTCAAATGAAAATAGGTAATTATCAGTCGAGTCAAAATGTGATCACTGGGAAGAATAGCGGGAAATTTTCTATCAAAACTGAGGGAAGAATGCTTTAACCGACTACCTACACGTAACACATTTTCGCTATCTAGAAAAGGGGTCAACTTTCTATGAGGTTTAGAAGGCAGTTCATTCCTAGAGATAAGAGCAATGTCCGTAACGAAAACAACAGACTGAACATATCTAACAAGAATTAAAAGAGCAGTATGCATTTCTAGACTAGTTAAAGTACCTTCTCGCAGAGCAACAGAAAAGCATAAGTTATGCTTGAATCTAAGCACATAAGCAAATACTCGTTGCAATTTGTTCAATAAGGAATATTTTGAGATAAGAAAGTCAAAAAACTCCACAGAAAGCTCTGGACAAACTAAACAAGTTTTCTTCTCCTCCGGAATTGCTTCAGGGGTAGAATCACGTGAAAAAGGAGACCAATTGCGGTTAGAACTATTTAAGAAAGTTGGGCCCGCCCACCATAAAGAGCATTGGGCTACTTCACTAGGAAGAAGGCCTCTTGAACCCACGTCCGCAGGATTATTCTCGGAAGCAACGTGGTACCAAGAAATAGAAGGAAGTTCCCTTTGAATAAAGGCAACGCGGTTACTTACAAAAGTATTCCAGCGATGGGGCGAAGAGTGGATCCAATGAAGCGTTATAGTAGAGTCACTCCAGGCGAAAACTTTGTTAATAGGAAACTCAGGTTGATATACGCCAAGCACATAAGATAACAAACGAGACAATAAAACTGCGGCACATAGCTCCAAGCGAGGAATGGAGATAGTTTTAAGCGGCGCAACTTTAGACTTGGCGCAAACAAAATGAGTGGTAACTTTATCATCAGGAAGCACAGCACAAAGAAAAATAACTGCACAATATCCCTTCTCCGAACTATCGCAGAACCCGTGAGGCTCAAGACTATCATAGGGTTGGGGAAAACGGTAACGAGCTATTTTGCAATCTGACAAAGACGATACTGTATTGGTATATTGATTCCAGAGACGCACTATGTCATTAGTTGTGGTTGCATCCCAATCCAACTTTTGATACCATAATCTTTGAATAAGATGCTTTACAAAAAAAGTTACAGGGGATAAGATCCCAAGGGGATCAAATATTTTTGCTAAATTTGACAATAAAATACGTTTTGTACAACCCTTTTCCATAGGGTTGACGCAAAAGTCAAACGTATCAGAAGCATGGTGCCATTGCAAACCTAGAATCTTAAGGGGGCTATCTGAGTCAAAATTAAGAGATAAATCCTCGCTATAGAGGTGCGAAGGAGGAAAATCAGTTAATAAACGGGGGTCATTGCTGCACCACTTACGCAACTCGAAACCGCCTTTGGACAGCAACGAGATCAAATTCTTTTGCAGCTCTCTGGCGTCCTCGATCGTAGAAGAACCTCCAGTTAGGTCATCCACATAGGAATAATTTAAAATCACATTCGCGGCTGCTGGATAATTGTCCTTTTCTATTTCAGCCAGCGTGAGTAGCGATTTTATGGCCAGATAAGGAGCACAAGTAAGTCCATAAGTGACGGTGAGAAGACGATAATCGGCTATAGGGTCGGTCTTAGAAAATCTCCAAAGGATCCTTTGATAATCAACGTGCTGCGAATCTACTAAAATTTGTCGAAACATTTGACGAATATCAGCAGTGAATACGAATCTATGAATCCTAAAACACAATAGAAGGCGAACTATATCTGTTTGAAGCTTGGTGCCAGAAAATAGACAGTCATTGAGTGATTCCTGTCTGACAAATTTGGCGGAAGCATTGAATACAACCCGAAGTTTGGTTGTAGGGCTAGTAGGTTTTATAACACAGTGATGGGGTATATAAAAATGATGGGTTGGTAGGATATCAGAGGAAATAAGTTCCATATGTCCCAATTCGATATAATCCTTGATGAAATCAGAATACGCAGCATAAAGAGGCACATTTTTTTCTAAACGGCGTTCTAAGGACAGAAAATTATGTAGCGCTAAATCTCTACTCTTTGGAAAGATCGGGCTTGGCCCTTTAAAAGGAAGTGATACTACAAATCTACCAGAGGGGTTTCTATACGAAGTGTCTGCAAATATTTGTTCACATTTAGCATCGTCAGGAGACAACACCTTTGCGTGAGGTACCTCTTCCACCTCCCAAAATTTCTGGACTGTTTCTTCAAGGGAAGAATGGAGACACAGATGAGATTGAGAAAACAAGGAGGTAGAGGTAGAGGTTGTCTTTCCCATAAGTATAAATCCAAATATCGTATTAAGGGCTACAGGTTCATTGACACCACCAGTAAGGCGACCATCCTGTAAAATATACGGGAATAGGGGAGCTCCAATGAGCATATCAATGGGACCAGGACTATTATAGAAGGGATCAGCCAATAGATGAGTAGGTAAATGCGGCCAGGCTTGTACGGAAACAGTACCATTAGGCTGGTCGCCGCAAACTTTGGGTAGTGCAACAGCTTCGACGTCGAAAACAGGCGAAACTTCATAGAAGGACGAAGTTTGGTGAATATGCCCTTCGGGCATTTGGAAATTGCTGCTTGACCCAATCCTTGAACAGAATACGCGGTATCGTAGGACGATAAACCTAAGCGCCTTACACAGTCTTGAGAGATAAAGTGCAACTGGGAGCCGGAATCCAAAAGTATGCGAATTTTTTGAAACTGGCCTGTACCGTCTAATACTTCCACATTGGCGGTGGATAAGAGAATATTGACATTTTTTGGAAAATTCCATTAGCAACTAAATGTGGAGAACTGTCCGAGTTTTGCAGAATCTGATCCGCCGGGGTGATACTTGAACCAGGCGTTGCAGCATTACTAGGTCCAGGTTTGTTCTCAGCGCGTTCAAAATGCAACAGAGTATGATGTTTTTGTTTACATTTGAAGCAAACATGAGGCGATTTACAATCCCTTATAGGATGAGAACTGCTAAGACAATTCAAACAAATGCGGAGAGAGCGAACTAATTGATAACGGTCCTGCGGGGTTTTTTCCAAAAAAGTAGGACATCTATATATGGCATGTTTATTCTTACACACAGGGCAAGTTTGAACTCCAGAGTTGGATTGTGCACCAGCCAAAAGACTAAATTTAGGGGATGGAAGAGAAGATTTGTTATCTTCCCTTTTAGCAGTTTTCTTGTCTTTTACACAAAACTGGCTAGAAGAAACATTGTCTAAAGCCGAACAATGTTTACCTAGATAGGTACTCAATTGTGAGTAGGTAGGGGTTGCATGAGAATCATGCTGCAATTCAAACTTAGTAGCTACTGAAATATCTATGCGTTTAAGCAGCATTTGGACTAAGATGAAATCCCAAGCATCAACTGGCAAATTCAAATTGCGAAGAGCGGCCAAATTATCCTCAAAAGTATCCAATAATTGGCGTAACTCAATAGGGTTGTCACTTGTAAGCTTAGGTACATTTTCAATACAAGACCAATGGGTAGCGGCAACTAAACGAGGATTCTGAAACCTTTTTACCAAAGTGTCATAAGCAATAGGATAATTCAAATCTGTCATTGGCAATTTTTGAATCAAAGCTAGGGGTTGTCCCCGGAGAAAACTAAGTAGGTAATTAAATGTTTCTATATTGCTTAGTGCGCTATGCTTATGAATTAAAGCATCAAACATGTCTTTAAAGGTTGAAAATTGGGTAACATTTCCTGAAAAACAAGGAATTTCAATTTTTGGCAACGTCACATTCAGATTACTTTTTCCTGACGAGGAAGGACTTCTAGAACTGGAAGGCCTGGAAAGTGGGTCAACTACTTGAAAATAAGTGGTTTTGATAAACCAATAGTTACTTTCAAATTGGGTTCCAATTTGATCTTGAGTTTTGAACTCATCTTCTTCCTGCTCATCATCAATACTCCCAATTACAATATTATGATGTTTGAAAAAATCATCTCTTATTCTTTCGACATCTCCATAACGCAACTGAAAAGAATCACGACTAGCTGGATCATTTACCGCCTGCTGTGCTGCTAGAAGTAGCTCTGCCATTCGACTTATTTCACTCTGTCGGAGACTTTTCGCCTTCTTAGCTTTTGTATCTGACATATTGATCAAGGAAAAGAAAACAAAATTTGAATAAAAAAGGTGACGAAAAGGAACAGAGAAAAACGAAAACTACTATAGGAAGACAGTGCAATAAAATTCAAAGAGCAAATAGGTATGCACAGAATAATATAAAATCTATAAGCGCGCAAATTCAAAAAACTTTATTTGAGCCACTATATATGCACAGCGACGCTGACGACGAGGATTGCCAAAGCTTTGTAGTAGCGTCGCAGTGAAGACCTGAAATACTCAAAAGAGGGAAGAGGTAGATCCGACGCGCGAGAGTGAGTGAAAAGTACGACGTCACGTGCGCCTGCTTAAACGACTTGCTGTTCAGCCAGTGGCGGCTCGTGACAATCCAAAATGGTGAGGCCCATGGCCCATCAAGTTAACCCAAACAAACCCAAACAAAATTTTCAAGTGTTACGCCCAAATTTTGACCCAAAATTTCATCAAAAGAACATCTCGGATATTTTTTTTTGTATATTTCTAATGAAAATTTTCATTTCTTACAGTTGCAAAACAAAGCAGTAGCTACCTAATTCTTATTTTAATACAAATATTGAGTTTCAAATTAACAAAATAAATTCCAAAAAACAGTTTTTTAACCCGCAACAGACCAAAATAAAAAATATGAGCCAATTAACCAATTAAATACTTGTCGCAGCAGCAAGCGATGCAAGGTTTCTTATTAACAAGCCCAAAATTGTGCGCCTCAATGCCTATAAAAATTCGCTATCGTCTCACCTACAGTTGAAGCGTTGTGGTGGGGAGTGCCGTGGCATCGCTTCGGCGTTCTGTGACGCACATGAGGCCAAAATTTTTGGGATTGCTATTTTATTTTAATGCTGTCCGGCAACGATTTGAGCGCCTATAAGGATAAATAGGTAGAAGCGCGCGCTAGATTCAAGAAATAGTATTATATTTTAATGAAAATTCGATGTTTTGATTCTTTTAATGATTGAAAATAGTTGAAAAACGTTAAATATTTAATAAATATTATTTCAAAATTTTACTTTATTATTGTAATTTTTACATGTGAGGCCCGGCCTCAGTTGCTTTATACGACGAGCCGCCACTGTGTTCAGCTCGGCTGAAATACCTTGCAAATCTATCTTGGAATTTGGACGGCGGAATGCACAAAAAATTAGTTTAAATTTAAAATTTAACTGACAATAAAAACTATTTACTGGAATTTGTGCACTCAAGCAAATAAAAATTTATTATATGCAAATTTGACTCCAATAGAAAAATTTATATTTAAATATTCTATAGGAACTAATAAATAAAATGAACAACTAGATCAATGAATTCTTTTTCAATGCCTATAAATAATTTTCAAATGAATATAAAACAAATTTATTTATATTAATTTTTGAAAGTGAAGTTCAAGTAACTTGTTCATTCGGCGATGGGGGACCAAAAATAATGTGCAATCTTTAGTAAAACTTGGACTTTTCAAAGTGTTTGAAGAAAGAAAAAAAAATACTATTTCAAGGCTCAGTGTGAGATAAGTGGACTGTATCAAATCTTTTAAATGCAAATAAAATGGAGGTTTTGAGACCTTACCTTGAACTTCTGGCTTCCATGTAGAGGTGTCCACGGACACCTTTTTCACACACACACACGTTTTCCGGACTGGCCAGTCTACGCGTTTTTTTTTGTTCTGTTTCAAAACCGTGAAACTCGGCAAATTAAACACTTAGTTGCGGGTTCTCTATAAATTTATGCGGGTAAACTATTAAAAATTAAATGCGGGTTCTCTATTGAAAGTTTTTTGGGGAAAAACAATGTCGTTTGGTTGACGTTCGTTCTGCTTCTCTCTGCGGCTAATAGCAATATTTTTGCTAGCACCAAAGTAGTTTTTTGTCCTTTTTCACCGCACACGCGCGATCTTCCTTTAAAGGCCTCAAAACTATTAGACTTGAATTTATGAATAATGATACAAAGTGAGCCAAGAAAAGAAGAGAGTTAAAAGTGATTGATTGAACATATTATTTTAAATGAAAACAGAACAGTGATCTTCAAAACTAACACATAGTAGTTGTCTGTTATTTGAAATCTCTCGTAGGATCTACCCTCATTTCTTGAAGAGATTCTTGCAGATGTGGAAGTCTCACACTATATTCCTTGTTGGAAAGCTCTATTGGTATTTCCGGCATCCGAACGAAAGAAGGGTTCAATAATAAAAAAAATTTGATTAGTGTGGCCATGCTTTTTTCGATTTCAATTGTTTTTTTCAGATAAACGATTCTGATAATAACATAAGCATTTTGGCAAAAAGGGTATCTATTTTACGGAAAGCGAGGCAAAGAAATGGTTATCGAAAGTTTTTATGTTTATACATGCTCTTTTATTATTAATTTCTGGTGGTAATTCTATATACAGGGTGTCCACGTTCAACTGGTCAAAAATGTTAGGGTACTCATATGAAGGAACCATAGAGAAGCATGTAGTTTGAAATAGGACACCGATGGTCGGAAATGCGTCGTTTCCAAAATACAGGGTGTTGAAATTTGACAAAAAAATCGAATTTTTCCCTCTATATAAAAAACGCTTTTAGCGATTTTAATGAAATTTTCAGGATTTAAATGGTAGGTGGTGATGCAACTTTTCAAGGAATTGCAGTTGATTTGATCCGGGGCAATAAAACTTTTAAGGTTCTTGTATGGATTTCATTTTTTCACCCAAAGACGCGTGCGTTAGAGAGCCCCACAGAATACAATTAAATACATAGATAGGAATCCCGACACAACGTCACCGAAGTCGGACTCCGTATTTTCCATACATATTAAATCCTTAAAATTTAATCGTTATATTCCTTGGCATTTTCAGAATTTTTGCTGCTACAAATTTGTGTTTCTAACTACTGCAGTCAGTGCAGTTTTCTTCTATTTTCAACCAATAAAATTCGCTCTGAATGGTTTGTGATTTTTATTTCTGTGATAACAAACTTTTTGAGGCTGGTTTAATAAATTTGAACGCAATTACCTTCCTTAGGAGAACGTCAAACTACGAAAGCCTGTGCCAATATTGGGAAATATTTTCAAGTCCAAGTTTATAAATTTTCTGTAAATTTAAAATTTTACCGTTCTTGATTAAACAAATTGCCACTGTTCGCAAGTATAATCAGACATTACCAAATTTACCGATAACCAATCTGCTAATGAGTGATGAGATGAGACAGGTGATTATCGGTCAAACATTCGTATGCTATGAGTCTGCCAAAAGCTCAAAACAACAATTATTTTGGAGAAATTAGAAATCGCAAATTGTGAATGCAAAATGTTTTAAAAATAATATGGGCATATATTTTGTTTATAACATACCTGCCAGAATTGTAGTGGAATGCCACCACTCATTCCACAATAAAACACGGTGCAGCATAAGAACCAGTTCCCTGTAAGGTTCCATTTCCTTTAATAGCCTTTCTACTCGCGGATTTTTCAAATTAGAAAGAAAACTTATTAGATAAAAAGTTCTAATAGTTTCAGTCCCACTTGATCTGCCGCTTAGTTTATTTTCCCTTTTAATCCATAATGGGTATATACTTAGTGTTTAAGATTTTGTCAATCAGGTAATTTTCATCCCTGTTTATATTGCCCTCAACGTTAACGTCAATCGCATAATTACTACATCAACCGTAATAAAAAAAAAAAAAGAATACCATTGAGCAATATTGTGAACTATAGTCGACTATGGGGTTCTAGGTTCTAGGTATGAAATATTTAAATATGTCAATTAGACAACATAAAATACAGGTTAAACCAATTTTCAAAGACTTTAAAATATATTAACTTAGATAATTTTTTTAAAAAGAAAACTTATTAATTACATTAATACTCTACCGTACTTATCTACCATTAAATTCTGGTTATTAAACTTATTTAACTCCATAGGTACTTCTATTTTAAATTGACTATACATATTTTGTGATTACATTTTGATTCCGATAACCACCAATTATTGACAAATAGAATTTTTTTCAATCGAAGATTGAAGTGTTCTTTTAATTATTATTGTTCCACTCTCAGCAATAATCTTGTAGGTGTTTTCTATGTTTGGTTTCGCAGTTTAAACCAAATCATTTAAAAATTGCGTGGCGCTCTTTTAGTAATATATACTTAGGTATATATTGAATTTTGAATACTTGACTAAATAATTGAAAACTTCACTAAAAATTAAACTTTGATTTTGAACTCTGACCCATCAGCTCTCCAAATGAAAAGCTGCCGTTCGCTGTGTACCAAAAGATAATAAAGTGCTACACATGTGGCGCCCAACGAGATGGATCAAGGCGAAGGAATAGAATTCCACCTATTTAAAAATAAGGAAGTGTTTTTTTATGAATTGTGTTGCGATAGTAACCTGGAAAGTGCCAAAAAGCCAATGCTGAAAACATATCTCCTCTCACTCGTTGAAAGTTGTAGAAGAAGTCTAAAAATAGCTTGTATCTTTTCATCACCTCTAAAGCAACACACTCCTCATCAAATATTACTTTATCATAGAAATTTGGCTTTGCTAGATAATAGTTAGCACTGTATGTGCTTTCTTGTTTTGAAACTAATTTACCATTTTGCATTGATTCACCAAATACTGTATTCTGCACAGGAATCTGACTCGAAATTATTGGTAGCCGAAAAACGCATTTCCGTATTTAACTCAAGATATTTAGTTACGATTAGTGAAGTTAAATCTACTTTTTTTAGATTAATTTATGGTGGTAGTATATTGATATTTTTCAAAGTTCAATAAATCCTAAATCGTTGGCAATTTTTCCATTTACAAGCGTTTTTTTCCCCTTTTATACTAAATGTAAGTTCTTGTTCTGAGTAAGTTTTTCTATTTCTTCCTCACTAACGCTTTTGAATCGCTCGGGTAAGAAAACAGTTTATTCAATGTCTATCAATTCTACAACAAGCCGTCGCCCATGTACAGTGTGTAATGACTGTATGTGTTGAATCCGATATGGTTTATTTTCTTCCAAATCACA